CATTGTATGTGTGTGTTTGTGTGTGTAATGATAATGAGAATTATTTAGTGCAAATACTGTAGTTAATTTTACATGAATTTTAGTTTTTAAAAAAACATTGTTTTTAGGCTGAATGATTTTCAAATTCTATTAAAAATATATACATAAATGTATATTTTTTTCTGCTACAATGACAATTTGTGACAAAAAACATCACCATGAAGTCTTAAAGGTCTTAAAATCGGTCTGCAGTTTCTTTCTTATAAACTACTTTGAAAATATAATTTGTTGCTGTTTTGTTTATGATTTTGGGGTGAAATAGAAACCGGCCCCGTTTCTTCATGAGATTCAACCAGACAGAAAATTAATTTGGCCAACTAAATGTTGGCATACGTCCTCATTCAGTGTTGATATTGAAATAGACTTCAAAACGCTCATAGACAAACGGCTCTCATGACAGCTCTCATATCTGCCAACCAATGAGGTGCTTTATTGTTTTGGTTGAATTATGCATCCTTTTTGAGTGCTCTTATATGAACATTTTGATTATCCTGGAGAGTGACCGTGCAATGGACGGGTGGTTATTTTTGTCTCTTGGATGCAGGACTGTACAGTTACTACACTAAAGGTACTTGTGACTTCATGAAAAGAGAAGGTCGTAAAGTCAAGCAGGGACTCACCACTCACTGACAGTTCTCACCGCGCAACTGTGACCTCCCTCCACACAGGGTTGATTTGTGGTCAACTGGAGGACTTTTAAACCCGGTCTTTATGTGTCTGTCCAGAGACTAGGGTGTGTGTTCAAGGTCAGGTGGAGTTCAAGCATCCAGACCGCTCTGGTTTTCACAAGCATCTGCTGCTGTTCTTGGCAGCGATACTGCGGCAGTTCTGAAGCCACTTCTGTCTTCAGTTCTGATCAGCCGTTCTGGGCCTGATATCTGCTTTTTCATTTCCTCCCTCTCTTTCCTCACATCTCAAGTGGAGATGCGTACATCTGTCTGCGGTCGTCTCTTGACACCGAACTTCATCATTATTAATCTTTTGTATCTCTAAACCAAACACTGAGGAATCTGCAAACACGTGTCTGCAGTCTTTTCTTGGATTATTAATTGGCAATATGTAAGCATGTCACGGTATGTTTGAGCAGTGTATCTCCTTTGACTCGCTAAGGTTTATCCTGTAGTTGCGCGGCATCGTGGGTAAATTCATTTGCATGATGATTGAAGTCCCTCATCTGTGATGATACTCGGAACCCTCTCAGGTTTTTTTTCCATGGCAGATCGTGCCAAGATTCATTTAGGGAATGGACGCATTTGGGTTTACTCCAAACTGACAACAAACAGATAAGCACATATGTTCAGAAAAGCATACTACATACTATTTTTGGAGGGAGAAAAAAAACTAGATGCAGTATGCATCCTATTTGCAATTTTCTATATGACTGAAAAAAAATTGTTTAAACCTGGCTTGTGCTAAAAAAAATATGATACAATCATTGTCAAATATTATTGGTAATTTGACATGTATTTTTGAAACATACATTTTGGAGATTTCAGTTTTCTCCATTCCAGTACATTCAAGCTGTATGGCTTGAAAATAGTTGCCAACAGCGATGCCAAGATGGCCACAGAGTGAACTGAATTATTAAAGTAGTAGCAGTAGTACTTTAATGTAAGCCGTCAGTGTTTAAGCAATCGTTCTGTATTTCCTAATATCAGCCAGACAACCATGCTGCTATTTTGAAATGCAGTATATTTGCTTGTTTAATATTGCAAATGTGATATTACTTTTTACAACATTTAAAAAAAAAATAAGTGAATGATGCAATGACTTGTGGCGTTCCTTAACGAATCAGCCTTTTTGAACAAATTGGTTCAGTGACAGTCACTTGATGCCACCTACTGGCATAGAGATGCAGAAAGAGTCACAGAGAAATCCCCATCACAAATACACAGTCTGTCTGGAATGTGCAAATATACACAAACGGACTGATATGAACATTTGTTTAACTGATAAATCAGCACTCTCGTAACGCTACTCGACCAATCAGCAGCCTGCCTGTTCTAAAAGTAAATCTAAACTATTTTTATTTTACATGTAATGTGGCAAAAATTTGGTATAGTACTGTTCAAAAGCATTTTTGTTGTGTAATGCATACTGTTTCATTTTAAATAATTAGCAAACTTTGTTTGTAACTGTTTCCAAAATAAGAGACATATGAAAGTCACATTAATCAAACTAAATAGTCCTACAACACCAAGGTAATTGTATTACAACAAAAAATATATATGATTTCCTTCTAGTTGCACTGTAGTTTCGTCATTGTTTTCACTATAAATGCTCTAATATCCTAAAGGTGAATCTCACAAAAGCATGTCCAGGTCACATATGCCATAAATCAAAAGAAAATACTGTTGCACTTATACTATTTTTAAAATAGTAAGCAGTATGTACTATACACTGTGCAGTAAGCAGAATATGAGTGCACGATCATAATTACACATCATTGAGTCCAGCAGTAGCTGAGGACCAATTGCAGTGTGAAGGATTACAATCTGAGATTAGACACAGAATGCATCTAATTCAAGAAAGAAAATGTGAGAGAAAGAAAATGTGATTTAAATGTGGTCAGTCATTGGTTCATTGGAAAATTAGACACGTTCATCTCCTGATTCTAATCACCGCCTTAATGAATCAAAGTCCGTTTCTGCCTGCGGTTCTAGTGTGTGTGTGTGTGTTTGTGGGTGGGATTGTTCGCTGTTCTTCAGTAACCTTTGTGTGACCTCTCCGTCTGTCGTTGTCCCTTCTCTCTACTCCTTTCCTCCTCTGCTCCACCTATCTAATTACACATCTACTGTACAGTTGTCACGTAGTTCACCCATCTGATGACCTGAATAAAAGCAATTAAATACAGAGCACTCACTCCCTTTCCCTCCCTCCTGTGCTCTCGTCTTTCTTTCAGTGCCCTCCTTCTCTGTTTTTGCTCAAATGTTAATAACGTAAACTTTTTTCAGAAATGTCATTACCTGTTCTTACCCCTGACATTTCATGTTTATGTTTAAAATATGCCACAGTGGGAAACGAATGCATGTGATATTCTTACTGTACGATATAGGCCTAAATATATATTTGCACTGTAGTTTCATCCTTGTTTTGCCTATAAATGCATTAAATGCACTAATATTATAAGGGTAAGTATCACAATTATAGCATAAAGGAAATAAAGCCTATTTTAAGGTTTATATATGTATATAACATATTTGAAGTCTAAACAAGTACATTCTCACCTAAAAAACTCTTAAAACTACATTCCGTGACACAAAAACAGTATTATTTATTAAATTATAGTGGATTTGGGTGTCTGCCATATCACTCCGCTTATATATATTTTTATATATATTTATATATTAATTATATTTTTTTTGTGTGTGTCGTGACATTATGGTCATTTTGAATAACATTGTGCATCATTGCCATGAAAATATTCTCATTACCCATATAATGTTCAGCATTTTTTACTCTTTAAAATTATAAATGGAAAGACTGTCATGAATACTTTACATTTACTGCTGTATTTACTACTGTGAATGCATCATAATTTAAATAATTGAAATTTGGAAATGAGAATGTGAGAATGTGAAAATGAGACGGAGGACAGTTTTCTTCACTAGACAGACATCTTGTGTGTTCCTCTCTCCAGTATCCCATTCCTTCGGTCTTGTCTTGAAGCGCAGCAGATGGTTCATTCTTCATGGATATCGGGTCACATGTGCAACATCCCTCCTCCAATAGTCTCTTCTTCCAAAATGACTATTGTAAACCCATTATGACTAAAGAGCCTGCAGTTGGCAGATTAAAGGGGCACCTGCTCGCCCTCCAAGTGCCTCAGCGGGAGGACACTGAGCCGTGCCCTCTGAGTGCTCTGTGCCCGGATGGTAGCAGAGAGACAAGGACTTGACCTTCTGCTGAACAATGAGAGAAATTCGTTAG